CTATCTATCTATCTATCATCTATCTACTGAGATTTTCTACACACACACACACACACACACATTTTCCCCAGACTAAGCCACAGGGTAACACACACACACACACACACACACGCACACATTTCCCCCAGACTAAGCCACAGGGTAGTATTAGGATGTGAATTTCATGAGTGTGGGGACTCTGTCTGCTTCCTTGCTGTCTTACTCCCGCACAATGCCTGGCACATAGGAGCTGTCCACGACATTCGTTCACTGGGTACATCTGAGCCCCACACTTGTCTGAAATCCTTAAAGGCAAGAATCACACCATGGTAGCCCTAGAACCTAACGAAGATCTTCAGTGAAGATTTATGCTTCTAGGGAACAAACATTTATTGACTACCTGCCAAGTGCCAGGGCTTGGATATCCATGTACGTCTAATGTCTGAGAAGGATGCAAAGAAGAGCCCAGACACTGTTCTTGCTCTCAAGGACCTTACCCTTTGCTAGGACACTAAAGATGTGTGCCCAGATCACTTAAAAAAGACTAAAAGTGGTGTCATAGGAGAGGTCCCAAGGAGGCTGTTCAGGGTGGTATTGGTTCTTTCCCCATCTCTCCTCCTTTGCTGCTCCTCTTCTGGAGGAATCTATGGTTTCAGCTGTGGGCTCCTTGGTTCTTACTGGGCACCCATTCCTTGAACGGTCTCAGAGATTTGACATGAGAATAAGCAGATGATACCAGATTTACTCCTCTGAGCTGCAGTCCCATCTTTCCAGCACTGTCCTGAATATCTTTAGGTGGAGACTCGCAGACACCTCCTTCAAGGCTCAGATGAGATACCTTCACATCCACCTGAACCCAAGCTAAAGTATTGGTTATTCTGGGATGTTGTCCCACACTTTTCAGTGAGCAAGCATGCTTTTTGAGGGGAAGCTTGCTAGTTTAAAGGTTAGCAAAAATGGTTCCTGCCTTCAAGCAGAGATAAGACATACACACTCTTAAGAAGAGAATGAAATAATCGAGGGACATAATGCAAATGAACCAATGAGCGGTATATGTGGCAGACTGAATAGGAATCGCCAGAGATGAAGAGAGCATTTCAAGTCGGGCAGTTCAGGAGGACCTTAGAGAGGAGTTGAAGGGTAGGCAAGATTTGGATCAGGTCATTGAAGGGACAGTGAGGAGAGAGGCAGAATTGTCTTGGTGAAAGCTGGGCATTATGTCATTGGGTGAGTGTGCTTAGAGGTGATGGGTAGACATTTGCCTGGAGTTGAGAATTAGTTGAGAGACACAGGAAGTCACAAGACCAGGAGGCCTTGAGTGCCATGCTGGGGACTTCCAACTGTGTCCTGTTGACATTGGAGAGGCCCTGGAAGAGTTTGTCCAGGAGACAGCCTGGTTGCTACTCCTCCCTGGAGATGTTGGGAAATTTCTGCTTTTAGAGAATGAGAGGGAGAAAATGAGCTTGTGAAGGAGCCAAGAGGAGTGGTCAGGGACTCAGGCAGAGAAGTATGATAGTAATGTCATGGAAATCGAGAGGAGAAAGTTCCAAGAAGGAGGTCAACGACATCAACAAAGTTGACTGTTAATCAGCAGAGCTAGCACAGGGTCATCTGATCGGGAGGAAGCCGGGCTGCACGAGCTGAGGGGCGGACGGGTCGAACTGAAGCTGAAGGCACAGGGAGGCCTCGTGTCAGAGAAGTTTCAGAATGAGGGACCTAGGTAGTTAAAGTAAGAAGCGGGGCTGGGCATGAGGGGCTTTTCAAGGTGGAGTTGGCCTGCGCTTGTTGGAAGGTAGGGAGAAGGAGAAGAGCAGGGATGTGGGGACCCAGTGACATAGGAGGCGGGAGTGAGCTTTGCTGTGGTGAGCAGACGGCTCTCTACAGGGACCTGAGGGAGGGACATGGACAGACGTTTTGCATTACTAGTTGCATTTAATCTTTTTTATGACACATATTCATTATGAAATTTTTTTAAAAATTCAGAAAAGGAAGAATAATAGCACTCACGTGAACTCCTAGCCCTCAGAGGTAACAAGGTCTGTAGGAGCTCTCTTCCAGAAATCCTGCTGTGTATATTTGCACACAGATTTTACGCATGCGTAAGATTATACTATCCGTGTTATTCTGTATATGTGTTTTTAAGAGTCAACAAGCATAGATATCTTTCCAGGGCAATAAATATAGATCTGCATTAATTTTTAAATAGTTGTATAATATTCCATAGTGCAACTTTACAATAGTTTATTTAACCAATCATTTATCTATGGGCATCTGAGTTATTTACATCTTGCCTCGGGTTTATTGTAGTCTGCAGTGATCCTCTTTACACATCCATCTTTACCTACTTGCATATGTATCCCCTGAAGAAAAGAATCCAGGAAGGGAGATAGCTGTGCACGCTCGTTTGGAGTATGGAAGTCGGGTGCCACAGATTTCAGATTTCAGATCCAGGGGCCCTGAGGTTCAGAGGACCTGTGCCCCACATGCCTGGGCAGGCCACTTCCGCACACCCACTCCTAGGCTGGCTTTGAGGCGTAACAGCAGGAAGGAGTTAGGGGGAGGTGGAGAGCTTACACCGAACCCCCACGTTTCCCCTTCTCTCTCTCTACCTTCCAATGAGCGCAGGCCAACCCCACCTTGAAAAGCCCTTTGTGCCCGGCCCCGCTTCTTACTTTAACTACCTAAGTCCTTCATTCTGAAACTTCTCTGACACGAGGCTTCCCTGTGCCTTTGCTTCAGATCTACGCATTCGCCTTTATGGATGTCGTTGACCTCCTTCTTGGACTTTTCTCCTTTCCATGTCTAGTCTTTTCAGAAAAGGTGGAGGTGAGCTCCTCTTCGGAGAACGGGGTGGGCTGAGAAGGGGAGAAGTAGGGAGTGAGGGTCCAGATGGCAGGACTTGACGGGGGCCAGGCCCACACTCCTCTCTGACATGCTCCCACCCAGCTGGGTTTCCCCGCATAAAGCAGAGAAAATAGGCCAAAGACAGAAGGGCACAAGGGCAGGAGAGAAAGCTGAAGGCTCCAGGGAGCCGAAGCTGATCCTGGAGCTAGCGAGGCTGATGGCCTGGGTGAAGTAAGGAGAGTAAAGGCTAGTGCGGCAGGGATGAGGAAGAACAGTAGGAGAGCCTTACGAAAGGAGCTTCAGATCTCACAGATGCAATCGCAGTAAGCTTTATGCTGCTGATGGACAGACAGACGGTGGGCAGCCTGAGCTACAGCCAACAAGGAGATGAGACCTACAGATTTCAGATCCGGGGGCCCTGAGGTCCAGAGGACCTGTGGGCTTTCAGCATAAACGTTGCCCCTATTAAAGTTGATGGCAGGAGACAGGAGGAAGAAATAATCTAGTCCAGCGAGGTACTTATCCAGATCGGTGCTCCCTGAAGTCCATGCATCTCTAAATACCATTCCCATGGGATTCCATGGAGAATTTTTTTTCAAGAATGGCAGGAAGTTCTATGGCCAAACAAGTTTGAGAAACATAGAATTAGACACAGATTTTTTTGCAAGACTAAAATTTTTTTAGTATGTTAATATGAGATTCTAAGATGGTGACAGAGCATGTAGCGTTTTCCATACTTACTTGATCAAATAATCTTTTTTTTTTTTTTTTTTTTTTTTTACAGAGTATTTTGGAGCTAGTGTTCTGTAGGACGTGTTTTAGAAATGAGTTTCTTAAAAGTTGGAAATTGGTCCTGAGAGTGACAGGCATTGGGAAAGGGAGATAAATGGCAGCAGCATTTCCAGTAGGATAGAAAAATAGTCCTGATAAAAATGACTGCTGCTATCACTTATCAAGTGTTTACTATGTGCCTGATACTTTTCATATATCACCTCCTTGAATTTTCCCAACAGCTCTGTGAAGCAGGTGGTGTTCCCACTATTTTTGCACATGACGTGCAGAGAAGGGAAGGGGGGTTCCGTGTAAGAGACAGCATGGACCTCAAGTGGTGAGTGTGGGGTTTGAAGGCTCAGAGGTGACAGCAGACATCAAGAAACTGACTCCCACCCTTCCCATCCCCCCTGGATTTGTCGGGTCCAGGGGGAGTAGAAGAGTTGCTCTCTACACAGAGGTGACCAGTAAATATGGGATGGGGGGAAGGTTGGAGGCTGTTGTATTGAGCGAATAGCCTGGGTTCTCTTCTCAACTAGAGGCTATACCACCTCTTGAAGGGATGTGTAGAAATGGGGTGGATAGTTGGAGTTACCACAAGGTCCAGGGGCTGCTACTGGCATTTAGTGGGCCAGAATGCCAAATGTCTGCACAGCGTGGGAAAATCCTGTCTAATGAAGAACCGTGCCACCCACATACCAAGAGTGCCCAGTTAGAAACACAGAGGGCAAGAAATGGGAGGAAAGCTATTTAGGATAAAGAGGGCTTAGGCTGAAGGGGGAGTTTTCCCACCAGCTCTGCGGTTACTGGGAACACGGCAGAAGGCAGCAGATGCTGAGAGAGCTGTGGGCTGGCTTGGGGCATTCAGAAAGAGGTAAGGGGGTGGGGGGGCGGCGGAGGAAATGCATGTTCCAGAGCCTCAAATGTGGATTTTAAGAATGAAGGAGCAGAAGGGAGGTGAGTGT